TTTTTTCCGATCTTTTGTGGCTGAAAGATTTTTCTTTGATGTGACTATCAGAACTGGCTTCAATCCTGGAAACTGTATTTCATTCTGATATTGTGTTTTCATATTTTTTATTTCATGTAGTTGACCATTATCTGTCTAGTAGTATGATACTAAGAGTAGAGATCACAAAAGTTTTGGTTATTTGGAATGGGAGCAGTGATAAGCAAAAGAACTTGGCTGGTTATTTACATGTGAGTGGAATCCATGAACAGGAATGTTAGTGAAGTTTGGTGTTTATGGTAGAAAAGGATAGTTTGGTTTTATTATATAACAAGTTTATAAATAGGAAAGATTTAGATCAACAGCAATGATACTGTTGTAGGATCATAGAAAGTGGGTCATAAGGAGAACAACACACTCACAGCAGTAGGAACATGTCAGTGGTGTACTTAGCGTTAATAACTTTTCTTTAAATGTTAGTCTATTGAAGTAAATGGACTTCAAAAGGTCATTTGGTTGTTTAAATTTTAGCAAAATATTTTCCCTAGTGAAATTTTATTCTTTCATTGTTCTTTCTTTTTTTTCTTCCCAATTCATTCACTAACTTCTCAAGTTGCATGTTACATCAATCATAATATATTAAAAAATTGTCAATGAACTATCATCTCACATTTTCATCCTATATGTATATTCATAGAATCATAATGTCCAAACATATTTGAATTTCCAAAGTTATATTGTTGTAAAAAAGGCCTAAAAAGCTCAATATCAGAAAGTATAATATGGTTATTTCCGGGAAAGATGTACTGGCTATTTTGTACTCCATTCCAAAGTAGTTTCAGAGCTGGGAACAAGTTAGTCAATCAATGGCCTCTATGTTTAATGTTTGCTTTTTTTCTTTAAGTTGTTGGCCTTTGTACCAGAAAGTGATTTCGAGTATACTTTATTGCTGTTAACAAATTACTAGATATAATTGATAATTGTGGTTATGCTATTGTGACTTGGATCCCCTATGTACTGTAGAAACTAATTTTTTTCCTAGTTCCTTCCTTTTAACATAGTGTAGATATTTAATGTCATTTTTTTCTTTCCTTTATTATGATATGATTTCTAGGTCAATTTCACAGTAATCTTTTTTTTTTTTGGTATTTTAATTTCACAGTATACCTTTTTTTCTTTCGCAGGAGAAGGTGGAGTACTTGGAGGATGGCAAAAATGTGTTTAAACTCCGGCTGCGTTTATGCTCATCACTGTACCCAATAAGTGAGCGGATTAGAGACTTCTTCCTTGAATATGATCGGCACATTCTTCGGACAAGTCCACCTTGGGGATCTGAGCTTCTTGAGGTTTAATTTGTGATCCTGATTTGTATATTTTTCTCTTTGTAAAAATGGACGATAACGTGCATCTACTTTTATTCGGTAGAGTTGAGATGTCAATTGTTCATTAAATCTTTACCAAATGATTTAATTAGCTAAAGATGTATTTCTCACTCAATATTGTTGAATTTTGAAACTCGCTTAACGTAGTTGTTAAAGGCGCAAGGTCACCCAGAGCGTGTAGCGCAAGGCGTTACACGAGGCATACACCTCGTCAAAGAGAGGAGTAGAATAATGCATATAATAAAGAAATAAATTTGATAGCATAGTTATGTTTAAAGTCAAAAACTATATAAAAGATATAATTATAGATCTCACAAAGAAAAAAGATTTATATCATATATTTTATGGGAACAAACTTTAGACACCCATCAACCAGAATGATGAGGACCATTTCTTTAGTTCATCATCATACTAATTTGTTATTACTAGTTACTAAACTACTACTACAAAGAGGCATGAAACAATGTGCAGGAACTTCTCTTCTCTTCACATTTTTTCCAGATGATGATGAATGTTTTTGCCACAGAATCCCTGATACATGGATATTTGAATGATTAGATCTGCTATTTTAATACTTGAACTTCTTTTCTTGTAGGCAATCAACAGTCTGAAAAATGTTGATTCGACAGCTTTGCTTCAGTTCCTTCAGCCTATCTTAAACATGCTTCTGCACCTAATTGGCAATGGTGGAGAGACTTTACAGGTGAAAAAATAGACTAGATTTCTCACATCTTTATCTTTCGTGAGAAATGTTTTTCTTATTTTCTTGCTATGTTTACTTTTGGCCTTTAAAAATATGATTGGCTGTATATCATATATTTCTGTACGTTTTTCCCTGTTCAGGTTGCAGCTTTCAGAGCCATGGTTAATATTTTAACTCGGTATGATCTATAGTATTCTTCTATTTGTATAATTTTTTTTAATCAACTACGAATTTTTTTTATGTATATATAACTCACCACTTAAACGGTCAGCAGATAAACCATTGCTGGATCTCTGTGTTCTGTTCTGTGCTATATTGGATTTCTCTTAATGCAGTGTTTTGTTCCACAGGGTGCAGCAAGAGTCTGTTGATGATGGTGAAAGAAATATTTTCCTAGTGAACTATGTTGACTTTGCTTTTGATGACTTTGGAGGCCGTCAGCCACCAGTGTACCCTGGTTTATCCACAGTTTGGGGAAGTTTGGCTCGCAGCAAGGTAACAAGTTAGGGATGAGATGGTTTTTGCTTTGATTTGCTTTGTCGATGTATTTTTTGAAATAAACAAGGTTGAAGAAAATAATGAAGACTTTTTAGTGGTATTAGAAGTTCACTTCTCATCCATAATCCATGCGTTGACATGACCGACGTGGATGCAGAGAAAGCGTAAAGATAGTCATGATGTTCCATTGATTTTGAGAATACCTGGTAGAACACAAGGAAATATGTTATTGAAAATGAAGATTCATTGATTAAAGATATGAATACCGGAAGAACAATTATAAGCCACCAATGGGGATTACAAACTTTTTATGCTAGAAATTAAAATTGGTGGACCAGAAAAAAGAACATATCCTGATTAATAAATAGCAATAGCTAATAAAATATATGTATCCTTATATCTAATAAGAATTTCCGTGTATGTATTTTCCAATGTTCTGAAAACCGGATCGGTCATCGAACCGGTTAAGCTACTGGTTCAATGGTTCACTGGTCGGACCAGTGGTCAATCCTGTTCAACCGGTTTAACTAATATATAAATTATTTATTTATTTTATGTGTATAATATATTATACATATAATTATATATATATATATATATATTTATCATTAATTTTATAGATTCATTTTATAGTTTACATATATATATATATATTTATCATTAATATATATATACATTTTTCTAAATAAGAGTTGATAAATCAGTATTTTAAGTATAGTTTACCATAAGCAATATTATTTAAGTTCACTAAAACAATAGATTAATAATTCAATATCTAAAGCAAGACAATCTAAATTACGAATACAAACTACAAAGTCATCAAACATCAAAATATATCCAACCCAACAATACAATTCATCAAACATCAAAATACTCTCACTCTTTTCCTTTTGTTTGATTTTTTTTTTTTTATTTCATTAAGATTTTTTTTCCCAATTTTTAGAACCGGTATCGGTTCACCGGTTTGGACAGTTCGAAGCCGGTTCTTGCTCCCAGCGGTTTAAACACTCAAACCGGACCGGTACTAGGTTCGGTTCCCGGTCGAACCGGCCGGTCTGGTCTGGTTTTGATAACATTGGTATTTTTACCAATGGGGTGTGTTGATTGTTCATAGAGCCTAAAAGGCTGAAAGCCTAAAAGTAAAGTGCGCTCTTGGGTGAAGAATTAGGTGACGGGTGACCCTATATAAACTTGTAAACCACTTAGTTGGCGATTGGATATCAAAATTGTCCATAGACACACTTTTTTCCATTTAAATTTTGATTGGATAAAAATATTTGCAAAAAATGCACTATTCATTCTCACTTTTCTCTTTAACGTCGTCAACATAATTTAACAATAAAAATTATTTGTTACTATCACTGTTCTAAAAATTGGCTTAGGCGACGCCTAGGCGCTAGGCGGTGCCCGGGCGCCTCCGATTTGCACAAATCGGCAAAAAAATCGGTCAGGCGGCTAGGCGGCACCTAGGCGGCCTTGGCGGGCTCGGCGGCCAGGAGGTTAGGCGGACCTAGGCTTTCCTAGACGGGCTCGACGATAATTTTTCAGTTTTTTTTATTTTTATTTTTATTTTTTTTAAAATATTAATTACATTATTTTGTTCTCATGTTTTCTTTAAAATATATTAATTTTATTATTTAGACTTAAGTTTGTCGATTTATTATAAGTTGAGATAATTTTATTCAGTGGGTAGTTAAAATAAATAAAAAATAAGGTATTTAATATTGATTTATAAGCCCCGACTAGGCGCCGCCTAGGCCCCGCCTAGGCGCTCTAGGCGCTAGGCGCTGGTCGAGCGCCTAGCGGGCGCCTAGCGACTTTTAGAACACTGGTTACTATACATTTCCCAACAAAAAAACCATTTTCCCAGTCACATTTATAAATACCAATCATTATCAATCATATTTTATTATTTTTATATTCACAACTTTAATCGTTACATTGTTATCTTATACCAATTCACAATCTCAAGAAATTTCCATACATTCCCCTATTTCCACTTCTCCATCTCTTACCGAGTGAGTAAAAAATTTCTGTATCCAATAGCTACCACATATACTCATTCCTTGTTTATCTGACTCAATGACTTTGGATTAGGCCAAAGGTTACCGTGTTGGGCCTGTTTATGATGATGTATTGGCTATGGCGTGGTTTTTCCTTGAACTCATTGTGAAATCCATGGCATTGGAGCAGACTCGGTTGTTGTATCACAACCTTCCATCTGGTAATTTCTTATCAGAAACTGTTGCATCGTTTATTGTTTCAGTGACATTTGTTCTAACTATTTAGTTCCTTCTGTTTCGACTTTCGATGAATAATAACCAATGGTGTCAGTTACTTTCTTAGATAATGAAATTCTTCAATAGAGGTTAAATACATTGACAAGGGGAGATTTAATTATGTAAACTTTCTGTGATGGAAGATTGTATAATGAATCAACTTAATATGTTCCATTTTAGGTCATTGTAAATTTGCAGGATTACTGGAGACTATCTGCAAAATAAGACATGTATGAGCTGTAATTGAATAGCTATAGTTGCATATATATGAGTCACATGAAAATACCAATTGCCAAATATATTGTTTTAGTAATATCAATTTTGAAGTGTTGGTTTGCATTTTTTCCATTAACTTCTTATAGAAAGTAAAATTATATTCTCTTGGGTAATGTACCAATAAATTCTACTCAGTCATGTGGTTTTTTGTACTTTTTTTCCTTTCGTAGTAAAATGTTTTGTTTCTTACATGAAAAAAATATATCAAAACTTAAAATGAAAGGAAAGAAAGCTTTCTTTTAAAGCTCTTGCTCTTTCTCATATTTTCACCAGGATCTATTTATGAGTCCTTTGAAGTCACCCATTGAATCTCTAACTCCAGATTTCTTATTAGGCCCTTCTTTATGATATATTTTTCCAGAGGGAATAGACTTCTCTATCCATATTTTTATCTAGATTTCCACATAATAATGTCAGATAAGCTAGAAGTTTCGTTTATTTTTCTTTTAATGGATAGTTGACTGCTTATTAATCAAATCAATCTCTGTCTTCTAATCTAAAGGTTAGTTAAATTGCATCAGACTTTCTTGTTTGGGAGTTTCCGGTCTTTGAGATTGACTTGAAATTAGTCGTTACAGTAGTACCACTAGCATTTCACTAGTCAAATATTGTAAGTCTCCTATTGTAGCACATCATGAATCTAAAGAAAAGTAATGTGAAATTTGCTTTCTTAATAAAAGAATGTTGTTTTTCTCTGAAAATAAAGTGTGGTATTACTTGCTAAGGTTTAGGGTAATTTAATCTTGAAAAAGGATTATTACTAGAAGAATTTAAACAATCAATGGTGAGTGTACAATTAGCTTGAGAAGTTGTATGATATAAAGTAGCATGAGCCCAACTAAAGAATCAATATCATGGATTTTCAATAACAGTGAATGGAGAGCATTTAACAATGTTGGCATATTGAGTATGTTATACATGATGTCGCTCATGCCTAGTTTAGTTTGGTCGGTCCATGTACTTGCATTAGCAGTTTGATATTCGTGATATCATGCACTTATGAACTTTTTTCTGTTTGTAGGAGAAGATGTTCCTCCAATGCAGTTGAAGGATGGCATCTTTAGGTGTATAATGCAATTGTATGATTGCCTGTTAACAGAAGTGCATGAGCGTTGCAAAAAGGGTCTAGGTCTGGCCAAGTATCTAAATAGTAGTTTGGCCTTCTTTTGTTATGATCTGCTGTCTACAGTTGAGCCTCGCCAAGTCTTTGAACTGGTACGCTTACTTACAAAGTTATTATCATGATAATTTAACTTCCATTGAACACTTGATTCTGTATGTTTTCTACGAATAGATAACTGCAGTAATTTTCCCTTCAAGTCACTCTGGATAAACACTTTCTAGAACCTAGATGTTTTTCAACTCGAAAAAGACCAGTTGAGGCACAAAATATATCATTGTAATAAAGTATGATTGTTGTTTATTGGCATTAAATCGTTGTTAGAAGTTATATTTGTCCCTCATAGATTAGTTACTTGGTTGTTATTGTGTATAAATGTCGGTTGGGCACCCTCTCCCTTTGGAGACAATGTTGGGTTTGGACTCGACCCATTCGATTTGGCACGTAGCATGTGAGGGAAGGTGTTAGAGCTATGCTTGTTCCACATCGATTAGTTACTGAGTTGTTATTGTGTATAAATGTGGGTTGGGCACCCTCCCCTGTTGAGGTAGCTTGTGGGGATGAGTTAGACCTAGGCCCATTTATCAATTATGTTTTGGATTGGCTACAATTACGTATTCTATGTTTACCCTGTGATGCGATAAGTTGTGAAAGCAACATTAGTTTATTTTGGCTTGCTTCTCTGCACTCTCATAAAAGCTGTTGTATCTTCTTTTTAAAGAGCTGTATCGCTTAATTTCCTTGCTTTTGCTGAGTATGCTATAAGCCTATCGCCCCGCCATCAGCTTCTGTACATAGTACTACTTTGTGCAAAGTCTTTTGACTGTGTGAGGTTCCCTGAAAGAACGTAGGCTTAAATAAGATTATTTCCGTAGGATTATTGCATATTTATTTAATAGAAGTTGTTTTCATTTCTCGGTTAAATGAGCACCTTAACAGATGTACAAGAACCGGGTGCATAGTTGTGCAAAAAAGTAGTAAATTCGATAAGATTCATTCTTGATTAGCGTATATCTGAAGAGCACTCTCAGGATAGGAGGGGTGATGTCTTTTTGTTGTAATAGTTGTGTTATTGGTGCATGTGGATTTTTTAATAATTAATCTGTTGTTTACAGGTGTCTTTGTACCTTGACAAGTTCTCGGGGGTGTGTCAACCAGCGCTGCATGATTGCAAGCTTAAATTTTTGCAGATTTTATGTGATCATGATCTATTTGTAGAAATGCCTGGGAGAGACCCTTCTGATAGGTGATAAGTGAAACTCCGATTACAAATATCAAAGGAGTTGTTTCCTTGTCCTTTAATTATTTCCATACTGGTTTTAGTATGTGACCAGATCATGCTCAATATGTCAAATAATAAGAAAAGTCTGTCAGTCTTTTTGACATATAACATAGAATATCTACTTGTGATGCTCATTATCATGTGCAGAGTAGTCAAAATTACATGATAATATTTATGCTCATGATGTAGTACTCCCTAATTTTGTTTGTCCATGACTTGCTTGTTTTAGTTTGATATATCTAATGTGGTGCTTCGTTTATCACAGAAATTATCTTTCATCTATTCTTATACAAGAGATTTTCCTCACGTGGGACCATGAGGATTTATCTATGCGGGCCAAGGTGAGTGCTATACTGTGTAATGGCTAGTTTATAAGTTTTTCATTATTGATTCTGTATTTCTTTGACCTTCTCATTCACTGAGTGATTCTTGAAGTCTAGTGACATCTTCATTTGATTACTCATAGGCAGCTAGAGTTTTGGTGGTTCTATTGTCCAAGCATGAGTTTGATGTTCGTTATCAGAAGCTGGAAGATAAACTTTATATAGCTCAATTATATTTTCCTCTTGTGGGTCAGGTGTGTAATTTATTTTCTGCAACTATATATGTTCGATTTAACCTCTTTAAAAGTTTATATTGTTGATATTTTGTTTATGAAGTTCTGTTCTTAGAATAGAATTTTTGCATTGGTAAAATATGCAGTCAAGTATCTGCAAATGTAGGTTCATATGCGGGACTGGCTATTTTGTGGTTATTTTGAACTGGATATTGTTGCCATTAGGCTGAGAAAATTACACTTATATATTGCTTTTGATCCTTCAAGAATCATCTGTGTGCTTGAAGAATGTAAGAGAGAATAATTTCTGTCTATTGGAAGTAAAAGAGCCTATATTTATAGGAGTAAATTCTAGGTTATAATATGTGCCAGAAATAAAAATATCTTCCTGCCATACCAACAAGAGAAACCTGTCTAAAAATGAACTTTAAATATATAAATTGGAAATAAGTATATACAATTAAACCTTCAGCACTTGCTTTAATGAAGATATCGGCAATGAATATGAAAATTTGAAGCAGTAGATTTTTTCAGCAGATTATACTCACAAATAAAGTGACAGTTGAATTCAAGGAGAAAAGAAATTATGTATTTAGCATCGCATCATTTTGTGTAAAACCTTGCAACAAGATGAGGTTTGTAATGATCAATTTTGAAGTTAGTAGTACCGGCCATGGCACCTAAATCTCTAACATTCATGACTTACCATGTGTTGTGCCTAGTCAGACCATCCATACTTCGCCCAACATTTCACTGAGACATGACTCGAGTACCACAATGGTTACAAGAGTGGTCACCCTGGTGGCATCGCTTCCACCATTCCACGGCCAAAAAACCATCACTTTGACCCCAGAAGGATTCTTGGCACGCAGAGTGTAGGATCCAATCCTCATAAAAACTTCTCGACCATGAATTCCTCGCTTGGCTCTTTCTGTTCTGAGCTACCTTTTTAAGAGCAGAAAAATAGATGTGGTATAGCAGAATAACAGTTTGACTGACCATCTTGGCGAAAAGAGAAAAGTTTCTCGTGTAGCTGGAACAGGAAAGAGAAATCCTTTCCAATTGACTGCATGTCCTTTAAGGCATTCCACGTGGCTTGGCAGTAGCTCACATGATATTCCATGTGGCTATTGTCAAAAGCAAATCAGATATCCACGTGGCCTTATATTAGTGCTTACACTCTTCCATTCTGTTGAGAAGCCAAGTACATCAAAGAAAAGTCTCTTTGACTCGATGAAGAATAATTAGCATCTTTTGAGTGAGAGTGTCACATAAATATAATTCCAATTTATTTCGGATCACAGAAACAGTTGTAAAGCATGACAGCATAAGAGATAGTAGGAACCATTTGATTTGACAGTGATTCACAACGTGGGTTTATGATATGAAGATAACATAATGGATCAATTTCATATTGTAACCTGACAAGGAGTAGTTGTACAAACCTATCCCAAAGGAAAGAAATTCAGATTCTATTTGGAAGAAAGTATTGCAAGTGGTAACAACTTAGACAAACCTCAGAGGTGCCAGCTCACTTATTAACTGTCAGTTGATTTATGAATTTGAATTGCCTTTTGCTGAATAAGAATCATGGGTTGCCCCCTGATTTATGGAAAAATGATACAGAAATTTGTGCAATATGCTGTTGATATCTTTTCCACCCTTGCTCTGTTTTGTGCTATAATACCTCTTTTTCAATATAAGAAAGTCGACAATTCAAGAAAGTATATAATAAAATTAATTGTTTAATTATTGGTTTATGCCATTATGTTCTGTTTGTCAGAAAGACTTCATTTTTCTCTCCTTGCTCTGAGTGTTATTATTTGTCACAAAAACAGTTGATGAAGGATGCTAAGCATAGCGTATTTCATTTTTGCACGTTCTCTCTTTTTATTATTTCAGTCGCTGATATATCTACATTTTCAGATACTAGATGAAATGCCTGTCTTCTATAACTTGAGTTCAAGTGAAAAGCGTGAGGTACTGATTACTATTTTGCAAATTTTACGCAATTTGGACGATGCCTCTCTTATCAAAGCTTGGCAACAAAGTATTGCACGTACCAGATTATTCTTTAAACTCTTGGAGGAATGTCTCGTTCATTTTGAGGTAACATAATTACTTCTTCGTTTCATAAAAAATTTCTTGATCTTTCTGTGCATTAGAAAGATAGTGGAAGAGAGAGATAGCATTGGCCACCCTGGTTTAGGTAAAGCTCAATTCATAAGTGCGATGCTAGTGTCTTTTGCCTTCCTTCTAGGTGGTTTGATTTGCATTTTGTCAGCCACTGGGAGCATTAATGGTTTCCTTCACTTGAAATCCATAGAGATGAGCACTTTTTCATAATAGCACTTATTCTCATGTTCCCAGTGATATTTATTATCTGAACTTTCTTTCAGTAGAACTTGTGCCTCAGCGGTATTCTGTATAGTATAACGTTTACATATAACAACTCTTCTTCTTCTGCACTGTGTATCTAGTCATATTCTAATGGCAATTGGAATGTTGAACAGCATGGAAAACCTGATGACAGTGTGCTTATGGGTAGTAGTTCGCGAAGTCCTTTAGGAGATAAGCCCTTTATCTCCAAGTATTCCGATAGACTTTCCCCTGCAATCAATCATTATCTTATGGAGGCCGCACGCCAAGAAGTTGGAGTATGTTATACTAGCTTAAAATGGTTGTCCTTTTTTGGGGCATACAGTTCTTGAAGTTCTAATCATCTAAAGAGCTTAATTGATGCATCCTCAGGGAACACCTGAGAACGGATATCTATGGCAAAGAGTCAACTCGCAGCTAAGCTCTCCCAGTCAGCCATATTCGTTGAGGGAGGCTCTTGCTCAGGCCCAATCTTCGAGAATTGGAGCTTCAACCCAAGCGCTAAGGGAATCTTTGCACCCATTATTGAGGCAAAAATTGGTGTGATGTTAGATGCAAATATACATCAGCATTTGAATCGCAAATAGCTATGATAGTACGATCATTATTTGCTTATATAATCATGACATGATGCATTTTTATCCAATCTTGTTGTAGGAACTCTGGGAAGAAAACCTTAGTGCTGCTATCAGTCTTCAAGTTTTGGAAATAATTGAGAAATTCTCCGCTGCTGTAGCATCCCACACTATAGCCACTGATTATGGAAAACTTGATTGCATTACCTCTATATTTATGATAGTCTTCTCACACAGCCAACCTCTGGCTTTCTGGAAAGCTCTCTTGCCCGTGTTTAATACCATCTTTGAGCGCCATGGAGCAACACTAATGGCAAGGGAAAATGATCGTTTTCTAAAGCAGATTGCTTTCCATCTTCTCCGGCTTGCAGTTTTCAGAAACGCGAATATTCGGAAGAGGGCTGTTATTGGGCTTCAGATACTTGTTCGGGTTGGCTTACCCTTTTTTGTTTTGCTCAGCAATTCGATAATATTGTCCTATATGTTGCACGAATATTAACTATGTGCATTTTTCCAGAGTTGCTTCTCTTACTTTAAGCAGACAGCAAGATTGAGGGTCGTCCTGACTATTACACTGTCAGAGTTGATGTCAGAAGTGCAAGTTACACATATGAAACCCGATGGAAATCTGGAAGAAAGCAGCGAAGCACGTCGTCTGCGTAAATCTTTGGAGGAAATGATGGATGAATCTAAGAGCCTAAATGCTCTCAGAGAGTGTGGTCTTTTGGAAACGGGATCTTTCCCGTGGTCAGAAATCAAAGACCTCTCTGATAGTCTCATTTTGGCTCTTGATGCCAGTCTGGAACACGCGCTTCTGGTATACACTGGCAACCCTAATATGGAACTGTGCATCCTGAAAGGCTACTATTATGACACTGAGATTTTAAAATTTTCTTTTAGGCCTCTGTCATGACGCTAGACAGATATGCTGCTGCCGAGAGCTTTTACAAACTTGCTATGGCGTTTGCTCCTGTTCCGGATCTTCACATAATGTGGCTACTGCACCTATGTGATGCGCATCAGGAGATGCAGTCCTGGGCTGAAGCAGCACAATGTGCTGTTGCTGTTGCTGGTGTGGTGATGCAGGTAAGTTTGTCATGAGAGCCAAGAAAATACCACACATTCATATTTAAGCTGAGTGGTTTGAGTTGAGAACCTTCTTAAGGTTAAACTAAGTGGGATAAAATTCAATTAAAATAAGTCTACATATAAGGTATTCTTGAATCTTCAGCATTAAATATATTTGTTCGTACTCAACATTTGTGCATGACATTTCGGATTTCAGTTTTGCAATCACACCAGAAGCAATTACTTATTAATTTAGTTTGTCTGACCAAACATGAAGATTGCGGGTAGTGTTTATTAGTCTTAACCTGTAATATGCTTCTGCTCAACCTGTAGTTTGTTGTGGTCCAAAATCCAAATCAGGTTTTGTGTTGAGCTGATTTAATGAGGGTGCAATCCTTATGAGAACCTTTTTGAAAATAGCGTAGGACATAAGAGCAAAAAAAACATGCATGTGAAGGATGTGTATGCTCTATGTTTTACATGCTCAGTTATTTAAACTCCACAGGCACTTGTTACTAGGAATGATGGTGTATGGAGCTGTGAACATGTAAATGCACTGCGTAAAATATGCCCCGTGGTCAGTGGTGAGATCACATCTGAGGCCTCAGCAGCCGAGGTAGAAGGATACGGCGCATCGAAACTAACAGTCGACTCGGCTGTTAAGTACCTTCAACTCGCAAATAAGCTCTTCTCTCAAGCCGAACTCCACCATTTCTGTAGCAGTATCCTTGAACTCATAATTCCAGTATACAAAAGCAGAAGGGCATATGGCCAGCTAGCCAAGTGCCACACTATGCTTACCAATATATACGAGTCGATCCTCGAGCAGGAATCAAGCCCCATCCCCTTTGCGGATGCAACATATTATCGAGTGGGATTCTATGGTGAGAAATTCGGGAAGCTCGATCGGAAGGAGTACATATACCGAGAGGCTCGTGACGTGAGGTTGGGCGATATAATGGAGAAACTCAGTCACATATACGAGTCGAGATTGGCGAATGGCACTACAACACTGCACGTCATCCCTGACTCCAGACAGGTGAAAGCCGACGAGCTGCAGCCAGAGGTTTGCTACCTGCAGATAACTGCAGTCGACCCTGTAATGGAAGACGAGGACTTGGGAAGCAGAAGGGAGAGAATATTTTCTCTCTCGACCGGAAGACGGGTTTTCGACCGATTCTTGTTCGACACCCCTTTCACGAAAAATGGCAAGACCCAGGGTGGGCTGGAGGACCAATGGAAGAGGCGTACAGTGGTACAGACTGAAGGCTCCTTCCCCGCCCTCGTGAACCGGCTCCAGGTGATCAAATCCGAGTCGCTTGAGTTCTCACCTGTGGAGAATGCAATTGGGATGATTGAAACTCGAACGGCAGCACTGAGGAACGAGCTCGAAGAACCCCGGAGCAGCTCGGAAGGAGATCAGCTCCCACGTCTGCAGAGTCTGCAGAGGATACTTCAAGGCTCTGTGGCCGTCCAAGTGAGTCCAGTTTATTTGTGAACGCGAAAACAAAAAAAAAAATTATGTAAAGCCGAAATTATATAAATTTAATCTTGTTTATTAATTATCGTTGATCACTCATTGCAGGTGAACAGCGGGGTACTTAGTGTTTGTACAGCGTTTCTTTCTGGTGAACCGGCAACGAGGTTGCGATCGCAGGAGTTACAACAGCTGATTGCTGCACTTCTTGAATTTATGGCAGTTTGTAAGCGTGCAATCCGGGTCCACTTTCGGTTGATTGGGGAGGAAGATCAGGAATTTCATACTCAGCTAGTTAACGGGTTCCAGTCGCTAACTGCAGAGTTGTCTCATTACATCCCTGCCATTCTCTCAGAACTTTGACATGGAGATCATTTTTTTCTCCTTTTGTGTTTTTTCTAATAGTTATCCTTGTGTTGTATTGTATTTAGGAGGGGCTACAGGGTTGTTGGTTTGTTTGACTGGTTTTCGATGTTTGTAATCGTCTCTTTTGTGTTGACTTGGGTCAGATTGCATTTGCTTGTCCGCTAGATTTCTTTCCAATCCGCTCGACCCAAATTATATGATAACTCGTGCTTTTTTGGTACCCTATCTTGGGTCCAGAAACTTTTGATGCGTCGGAGTTGACCCAAATTATGCAGATGTTATCTCCCTCCTCTTCCCACCATCTAAAAGTTTTCACAGAAACTTTGATGCGTCGGAGTAAATCCTTGACCCCGACCGTATCTCTGCTTTTTGATTATATGGTCGTCTACATAAACATTCTTGAACTCCAAACATATCAACGGTTGGGTGTGCTTTGATATGGATTTGATTGAAGTTGATTTGATGTAAAAGTATGAGAAAAGTTATTGGAAGTGATGGTTAATATTCATGCGAGTGAAAGAATAATGAAATAAAATTGATATAATGTGTAAATGATTGATTGATGACATTTAGTTATATTAATAATATGGATAATAGTGAGGTTGAGTTAAAGTTGAGTTAGAAGTGGTGGTAAAAAGATAATCTAGAAATCTTGGTTTGGCTTTAGGTATTGGTGTCTTTAAGATTGATGCTTTTCAGTTTCTTGTGCATACTGTGAGGGATGAGATTAGTAGTTGGAAGAATTGCTTTCTCTCTATAGCTGGTAAGGAGGTTATGGTGAAATATGTTTTAAATGCCTTACTAGTATTTGTGATGTCATGCTTTGTATTACCTTTGAGTCTGTGAGGGATGAGATTAGTAGTTGGAAGAATTGCTTTCTCTCTACAGCTGGTAAGGAGGTTATGGTGAAATATGTTTTAAATGCCTTACTAGTATTTGTGATGTCATGCTTTGTATTACCTTTGAGTCTATGTAAAGAAGTGTGCATGCTGGTGCCCAAATTCTGGTGGAATAAGGGGGATAGGCAGAACCAAAGCATGCACTGGATATCTTGGGAGAAACTTGCTACGCCTAAATGTGATGGGGGTCTTGGTTTCAAGACATAAAGTTGTTTAACAAAGCACTCATTATAAAGCAACTATGAAGAATCATTGAACAACCTGATCTTCTGATGTATAGAGTTCTGAAAAATAAGTATTTCAACTGTTCCTCTATTTCTTATTGGCAAGAAACTAGTGGTGCTTCTTGGTTGTGGAATTCTTGGGCCTCTTTTCTCCCTGAACTGCAGAAACATGTTAGTATAATAATCAGGAATGGAAAAAACACAAAGTTAGATGATTGTAATTGGGTCCCTGGTTTGAAGTGTGGGAAGCGTGAGTTGAGAACTGTGATTAATGGGAACATGTTTTGGGTGAAAGACCTTCTCATGCAGGTGGTGTTTACTGGGATGATACTCTGGTAAGAGCATTGTTCAAAGAAGTGGATGCCACTAATATTTTGCAAACTAAAATTTCTAAACCCCAGAACATCTGATCAATGGAACTGCTCCTTTATGGTGAAAGGAAAGTTCTCAGTCAAGAAAAGCATAGGCTATTGACTGAGAAGATCAGTACAAGATCAATTGCTGAGAACAGTAGCTTGGTTGGGGGAAATAGAAGAGCTAGTGTTGACATGGTCTCCGATAAACCAAAATTAGCGGGGATTATTAACATAAGACACGCTTTGAGGGACTCATGATCCAACCGCTACGGTGAAGTGAGACCACGTCGGTTGCGGCGTGACAAGAAACTTACGAACGATCATTGGCTTACACAAAAAGAACGTCACCTTTTCTCCTGTAACCGATGTCTCTTGCCAGTTAAAGCTCAATCAACCGACGTCCACAAGAGATAAATCACCGACATTCAAAGGCAGTGACAACTCAGCCCGTCATCATGACTGTCGACCAGGTGGCGAGCAATTGATCCAAGTGGCAAATGACCGCCTTTGACTTCCCCCGCATTAAATGCGATCACACCTACCTTGTACGGTGGGTCTCCGTTCTATAAATAGCAGGATGGGCCCTCAGAAAAGACACTTTGGGACCCTCATTAGCATTGTAATGTAACCTTGAAGGAAAACGATAAATAATCAATACCCTTGCATGTAACCGACGTCATTTCTGTTCGTTACACTTCATGTAGTGCATTAATCGTTCAGTAAACTTAAGCAAGGGCATTTCGACAGTTGGTCGGTCAAGACCAGTATGTAATATCGTTATCAATTCCTACACAACAACAGTTTGGCGCTAGAAGGAGGGCCTCATAATTTTTTGAGGTTAATCTTCGCTTTCACAACCATCACTTGTGCATATTCGTTCACTAAACACTGAACTGCTTGTGATAATTTCTCAATCTGGACGAGACCACAACTCACACGCTGGGAAGAGTCGTAATACTAATTATTCTGTCGGGCAGACCACGCAACCGCCTGTCACGGTAGATTTCACAAGTTTTTTCCAAAATCCAGACTTTATTCAAGGTCTCTCGTCGCTTATGGCGCGGGCGTTACCTGGTGCGGCGGTTACTGCCCACTTACAGACTCCTTTGCCAGCACCTACGACGGTACAACCAAATTCTCTCGCGCGAAATCAGGCGACTCGAACAACAGCTTTGCATGCTACTTCGCAGCCGCGTCGAACATCCCAACATCACGAAGAACTTGCCCGACTGGTTGCGAACCTGCCACCTAATAATCCTGTCATTGATGTGGCTCGAAATCAAGAAATGACAACTGAAAGTCACTCTACTCACCATCACAAAGCTCCTGTGCCTCCAAGGCCTCCATCTCTTTTGCAAGAAAACCGTGAAGATCTGTGCCGTCAAATCGAACGGAATCGTATGTCATGACAAGGTTAGGAAGAATTGGAAGCTTTACGAAAACGCTTAGCCGAACTGGAAACTAGACAAAAATCACAAGAAGAGACTCCACGACATGTCTCGAGATAAAGATCCCACAGATCGATATGTATGATGGGACGTCGGATCCCGATGCTCATTTGGGTCATTACACGTCCTGGATGGATCTATACGACGCGTCCGACGCCTTGCGCTGTCGCATGTTCTCTCTTACACTCGGGCCGAGAGCTCAAAAATAGTACTATACTTTACCGCTACATTCAATATGGAAATGTCAACAATTGAGAACAACTTGTCGGTCACATTTCATCGGTGCTCAAATCTGCCTCATTCCAAAAGAGTCAATCACCAACATTGTGCAAAAAGACAATGAAACCGTTAAAAATTACGTCTCCCGGTTTAATGAACGTATTCAAAACATGGAACCCTGTCACCCTGAATCTTTATTAGTCACCGCGATAGCTGGGCTAAGACCGAATTCAGTATTTCGATGGACTCTCTGCCGAAATAAGCCCAGCACGTTCCAAGAATTTCTCGTACGCGCTCAACAATTTATCATTGTCGAGGAATCAATATCGGTTCCTAATTTTGATCTTTCTCTCAAGGAAAACAAGACAGAGCCTGAAAGCAAGAAAAAAAATAAAAAGAATTTAGGGAAGGCTCAATTTCGCAGTTATTCGAAGGGAAATGCTGATACCTCGGATTCCAGGGCCGCACGAGATCAATATGCTGAAAACGTAGGGCTATCAGACCGTTTACTCCACGGGAGTGGCCACTATCTTTGAAGAGCTAAAAGGGAAAGGCATCATTCCTGACCCAAAACCCGTAAGGACTCCCGAAGAGAAACTTGACAAAATGCGATATTGCGCATACCACATATCTTCGGGGCATAATATCGACGAGTGTCTCGGTTTGTTGTCAGCCCTTCTTCGATTAATCGGGAAGCCTCAACTCCAAAAGTTCAGAAACCCCGACGTCCGCCGAAAAGGAAGACCTGTCGACACCTCGAATGACGAAGATGACGATGGTCGTGGTGCTAAAATGAAAAGGGTTCGCACAACCGACAAGGAAGTTTTCACTTTCTCTTCCAAGTCCTCCGAAAGTCTGGCTGGAGGAAGTAAAAAGGCTAAGTTGGATGTTTTACCGAGATCTCTTTGCTACGATCTTATACCTCGGGTAAACATTAACACCAAACAACTTGATGTTTCCCGACGACAAGCCAAAGCATACGCCCGAGAAGCACAAAATGCCAGGAAACACGTATTAGACATTGACCTCAGAGATACCATTAATAATCAGAATTGCCCTATCACTTTCAACATAGAAGATGCCAACTTGTTTGCTCACCCACATTCAGGCGCACTTATTATCACTGCCACAATCGGAGGAATTCCCGTTCACAGGATTATGGTTGATACTGGGGCCTATTCGAGCATCCTCATGCTACGCACTTTCAAGAAAATGGGATTAGATCCGGCTGACATCCGACCCTGAAATGACCAAATTCAAGGCTTTAACGGAAGCGTTTATTGTCCAATCGGTGAAATTCAACTCCCTATCCGGTTCAGAGGATTTGGACCAAAATCAAAGATCATCATGGAGACCTTTAAGGTTATGAACATTCAGAATGAATACAATGCCATTGTGGGCCGTACTGCTCTCTACAAACTCTGAGCGGCCATCTCAATTTTTCATTATGCTTTGAAATTCCCTACAATCGAGGGAGAAGGAACCCATTATGGCGACCAACGAGAGGCGCGAAGCTTGGTTCTCACTCCGGACTCGCGCGACGTTCATATGCTCGAATCCAATCGAATTGACGATCATCATCAACTGAGCGCTCCGAATCCCGCATCTTCCGACACGGACGTCATAGACCCCTTTACGCCTAGTACCAACATCCTTGTTTGTCCTATTTTTTTGTCTTTATTTTGGGTTTATTTTCCTTTTATTTTCCCCATTTATAGGATTTTCGTGGTTTATTTGGTCTAATTCTGTGTTTTTGTATTTTTCTCTTTAGTTTCGTTTTATGCGTCTTTTTGCTGTGTTTTGCTTCGTGTTTTCTCCGTGTTTGTGTTTTCACGAGGTAGGTTGTGTCGG